AGCGACTGGAAAGAACTGGAAAGGATTTCCCAAGAAAGAGTTGGACTGAGAGTGGTAGTATGAGGTCTATGGTCCTCCGTGAGGATTAACAAGTGTAAGCAAGTGACTAAGTAATAGTAATTATTCACTGGTGATTAATTTTTGATAGGTAAATTTTTCGAGTTGTAATGACACAAATCGTAATCATTGGAGTTCGACAATGTTGAGTGTGAAACTATCACTGATCAATGACGTTGAAAGATGATTACCTGGTCGATGTTAATCATCTACATTATTGGATACCATTTTCTTAGAACAGGACAGAATTGAATGGAGATTGCTGTAGAGTAATCTATTCTTCTCTACAAGGAATAACAGGGATAAGTAATTAAGTAACCAAGTTACTGAGTAACTTCAACTGAATTATTCTTGATTCTTTTAAATTTCAATAATTGATTAAAAGAAATACTGGAATAAAACTAACATTTAAAATATGTTAAGTACACAAAGTTAAGCGGTTAAATCAAATAGAATCCATTCATAGAACAAGGTAAACTAACAACAACCACCACCACAACCACAACAACAAAACAGTTACATTTAACAACTTACCTAACCAGAAATTAATAGCAGTAGACGAGTAAGAAATCTAAATAGAAATAAAAATTATTGTATAAATAATTTGTTTGGCGCCTAACAGTTAATTATAAGATAATACAGATGGACTATTTAATGTATTAGACAAATAATAAAGTTCTATTTTAAATGAGAACAACAACGAAAACAACAACAACAACACAAACGAGAAAAAAAATGAGAGAAAAAAAATCATAGTTGGTTAAAAATCTATAAAACAAAAGAAGAACTTCTGTGAAATAAAAGGTAAACGATTAAATTGGAAACAGTTTTATAGTGAATGAAAATGTTAACTCATATATACATATATCATTTTAAGTAAAGATGGATAGTGGCTAGTAGTGGAATCCGGTTTGACACACCCTTCGTCCTATTTAGGATTCGTTAGTTAGATGTACATGCATCACTCCGGGACACGAACTCCATACCGTTTGTTTAAAACATCATTGTGTTATCCACTTAGCAACTGAGTCCTGATAGTTACTTATCTTATGCAATGGAGTGGAGTTTAAATTCATTTGGTGTTGTTTTACTTATATCTTCCTATTGTTATTTAGGACTGTAATCGATCAGTTTCTTGTTGACATATGTGCATCTGGTGCGCACTGCCTTAAGTCACAAGTTTTCTAAACAAAGATGAATAGTGACTAGAAGTGTAATCCAGGATTGTGTATCATCCCATTTGGGATTTGTCAGCTGGATGTACCTGCATATACGTATCATCTTATGGTTACAAAAATTTTACAATCAATGCAGCGATTCCTAGTTTCATCAAAGGAATCTATTAAGATTTTAATAGGGAGTATACTGGAAGTATGAATATATGATATATTATACCAAGATCAGCATACGAAGATTAATGCCAAGATTGTTCAGTTCTCACATTTCACACCATCGATCGATCTTAATTAGACAATCGTTGGAAACCAAAAACCACAAAATAACTATTTCATCATATCGCAAGTTTATTCACCAGTTCCCACTCATAATACCATCCAGCCACTCACAATCCACCATTTCAATTTCACACTACACACTTCATATACAATCGTCTACATGTCGAATTTCATCGAGATGTGACAATGTGAGACTATCTTCCATCACATGTGGTCGATAACTATCCATCTCACATGTAACATGGTTGAATTAACCCTATTCTCAACATCTACACAGAACACCTCCAATCACATCTAGAACTCAATCACTAGTGAGTGCAATAATATTACTATTATTAGCATTAGTGTATTGGTTTGTTGAGAATTGTCAATTTTGAATAAATTTTAAATGACTGGTGGAATTCGGTTAGATAGCCATTAATTGAGTCTTATAATTTGAGAAAGTGCGATATCAATCACATTAGATGGATCGTTTTTAAGTCAGTATTTAAGGCGTTAAAGAAACAAATCGAATTACTGAAGAAGTTGATGATTAATTATGAAACTTTTATAATATATTATACACATCTTTTGGTGGTCGGTATTCAATATAATCCTTAACAGTGTATTAATCAGTAGGCGAATACGTAGTGTTGATTACGTCTATTATTGCACCACGTATAGGTACGGTAAGCAAGCATGAAAGAGTAGTGGAATATTATAGTAATATTATTAATTGAATTCATGAGTCAATTGAAGTTAGACCACCATGGAAATCCTGGAAGCAATTGACGGCCGTTTCGTATTTCTTGGAGTTCCAGTGAGAAGTTGTGACTGGTGGAGTTCAATAGAGTCTGTGGTCTAATAGTAACTCACTGATGACAATGATGGACAGTGGCGCGATTTCGTGAATTGGTTAAAGTTAAACATTAACACCGCTGAATGCTGGCTCAGTGATCTAGAGGTCAATCGCTCGTGCGCGAGAACGATAGGTCCTGGGTTCAAATCTCACGAGGCGGGATCGTGGATGCGCACTGCTGAGGAGTCCCGTAGCAGGACAAAACAGCCGTCCACGTTTTCCATGGCGGTCTCACTTCAATTGACTTATGAATTCAACTATTAAAATAACATACATTTCAGATTTATCGTCGAAGAAACGAGAATGATGAATCGATTGATTTCTATCAAAATCCAAACTTTTAAAAATACATTATTTAATATGTGCGCGTAGGTATAAAGCTTTGGCAACTCACCAACTAGGTACAGATTTGTCTACCTAGTCTCAGTTGCCTTTAGTGCTGTTTATCGATTATAAAAGTTTGAGCTGAATTAAAAGCTTCATAGTCGAAAGTTAAATGGTGTAATCATTGAGCAATCAGTGAAGCTACATGTTAACACCATTACGGCTGATCGATTGTATATATATATATATATATATATATATATATATATATATATATATTTAAGAAAAAGGCTCTTGTCCATCTTAGTTTTAAAAATGCTGATAAACATATAGGTTCTTTAAGTATAGTTTGGTTGGGGCTAGCTATGGAATCCAGGAGGTACATTTCCTTCTATTTAAAACTCCTCAGCTGGATCTAACTAAATTTATTGTTGTTCACATAGGTATTCATTACTTTTAGCCTCAGACGACCAACGGATAGTACACTACAAACTCATTCTCAGATCGCCACTAGTTTGTGCAATGGGGACGAATTTTAATCCATCTGTAAAGTTGTTTGAACCATCTTGTTGTTCATGTTAAGATATTCTTTCTGCATATGTGTAGCTGAAGTAGATTATTTCGATAATATCATTAAGACATATGGATTTTAAACTGAGTTTGACAGTGGTAAATAGAGAAATGCTTATGACTTAATAAAACTATCGAGATGTTCCACTTAACGTGCATATAACCCAGAAAATATTGATCAATTGAAGACATTGACATCAATAACGGAAAAACTCAAACAATGCATCTTGTAAGTTACAAGATATAGAAGTACATTTCAGTTTGCTAGACGAACATCTTATAAATGCTTTTATGAATGTTTTTTGAAATAGTTACAATGATATACTACAATTGACTTCTATATCAATGGTCTATGTGTTTATTGTCTTCGGTGGATAATACAGTTCAATTCCATTGGTCATTGTTATCCACTGGAATTACGAAGATGTGTTCTAGAATTTGATCAGTAATAAGCATATAGTTATTATCAGCAAGTGAAATTTGTGAAGATTGTTAGACAACTACCAGAAACTAGAAATTAATGAATCACCTTTTAATCCTAATACGTTGAAACTATGGAAGATAGTTGTTTAGTACGAGAAGTCTATTGAAGGTAGACATGTAACAATGTTAAATAGATATTTATAATGATAATATTAATCCAAGGAGTTTATTAATAATCGAATGATTAATTAAGCGTTTGAAACTACATCGCTTCCAATTTGAAAACACGTACATTAGTATTATAAGCAAAGATGAATGGTAGCTAGTAATGGAATCGTTCTATTTACGACTTATCCGCTGGATAATCCTACATCAGGGTTAATGTTCACTCTGGAACTCGAACTCACTACCATTCATTTCAAAGGTCATTACGTTATTTATTCAATTAGTCTCAAAATAGGATGAAACACATATTCTGTTTTTCATTATTAACCACCATCCATCTCTACTTATAATACTTGTAACTTAAGGAGATACCTTTGCAATTTGCACAAGATCCATAAATAACAATAACAAACTTATTAATGACAGTCTTAAATATCAATAAAAAGATTCAAGCAGTCAATATGCAAATGTATGACATTAGTAGTTTATAAGCTCAACATAACAACGTTTATAATTATGTAATTATTCAATGTTTATAACACCATATTAGTGTAGTAATTATTATTATTGTTAACTTCACTTGGTATCGATTACTTGAATCTTCCCATTGATAATTAGCACTACACTTAATCAGTCTCTTATTAGCTTATGTGCATACTGTGTGTATTACCTCAATATTACCTTAATTCACAAGCATTATAAGCAAAGATGGATAGTGGTTGGTAGTGGAATCCAGGACACACGTTTCATCCTATTTAGGACTTGTTAACTGGATATACTTGCATATTTTATATATCATTTTATGGCTACAAATTTTCTACAATCAATGCAACGATTCCTAGTTTCATCTCAGTGTTGATGTTCACTCTAGGACTCGAACATCAACTCTAAGATACAGGTAAATCCAGCTGATAAATCTTAAATAAGAAGAAACACGCATCCTGGATTCCCTTGATAGTCACTATCCACCTTTGCTTAATAATAATAATAATCGTTTTTATATATTAAAAATATTTTTAAAAATTATGAATATGATTACCAATGATTATTTTGGCTTATTGAAATTTGATTGGCTCTCAACAAAAGAGGATAGCCCACGCTTATTAAAAGACAAAAATGCTTTATACGGTTATATAATTCTACATATCCATTTATATTCTATTCTATTTCACATTGATACGTATCTATTCTACATTTCTATTATTTCTATTATTTCACACACACACACAAAAGAGAAAGAAAATAAAGAAAAAAAACAAGAAAAAAAAATAATCTGTCATAGTTACTCATCTCTTCATTCATTCTTATTATAAATTATTGAATGTATAACAATTGTGACAGAGTATTTAAACCATAGAAATATAGATCAGTTCACCATTGAATTAATTCACTTCATTAAATAGTATTCGTTCAGCAGCAGCAGCAGCAGCAGCAACAACAACAACAACAACCACAAGAAAAAATCAGTTCATTTTATTATTTTGAAAGTAAAGCACAACTCAAGTTCTTTTCTCTTTTCTTTCTTTTGTTTCTTTGTTTTTGAATTTTGTTTATTTTGTTTTTATTGTTGATTTTTTGTTCTTGTTGGTGAACTATATTGATATTTTCATTATAAAAAGAAGAAAAAAACAGAAAATTAATAATAAGAAAACACGGTGATATAAACAAAAAGAAAGAAAGAAAAAAGAAAGAAAAAAAGAAAGAATAATGTTTCATCAAAAATCTACAATTATTATAATAAACCAATATATTTTAATCATTGGAATTGTTTTAATGGTTAGCGATCAAATTAATGGGTTAGGTAAGTTATATCAATTATTTATTATCATCACTATTAGTTGTATGTTTTGTATAAGTTCTCTTTAATAGGTTAATTTAACGTTTAAGATGAATGACTGTCATTTCTGGTAGATTTCTATATAGATATAAGATGATGTGATTATGTAGTGTAATATTACTTACTTATTTACGTCTGTTACTCCTAATGGAACATAGGCCACCGACCAACATTCTCCAACCCACTATGTCCTCGGCCTTCTTTTCTAATTCCATCTAATTCTTGTTCATTTTTCTCATGTTCATCTCCATTTCTCGGCGTAATGTGTTCTTTGGTCTTCCTATTCTCCTTTGGCCTTGAGGATTCCATGTGAGGGCTTGTCTTGTAACGCAGTTCGCTGCTTTCCTCAATATGTGTCTTATCCACTTCCAGCGTTTCTTCCTGATTTCTTCCTCCGTTGGGATCTGATTTGTTCTTTCCCACAATAGGTTGTTGCTGGTAATGTTTGGCCAACGGATCAGAAGTATTTTACATAGACAACTGTTAATAAATACCTATATCTTCAGGATGATGGCTTTCGTAGTTTTTCGAGTTTCCGCCTCATACAGTATAACTGTCTTGACATTTGTATTGAAAATCCTGACCTTGGTGTTGGTTGACAGTTGTTTTGAGTTCCAGATGTTCTTCAATTGCAGATATGCTTCTCTTGCTTTACCGATCCGCACTTTCACATATGCATCAGATCCACCTTATGTAATGTAATATACTTTCATTAAAATAAAAATTACTCAAATATCCATACAATAAACCCCCGGATTTCGTGGATTTCCTGGAGTTTTAGAGAGAAGCCGTGGAAAGTGGAATTCGACTGTGACTGTTGTAGAGATAGTTTACTGACTGAATACAATAGTGGACGGTTCAGTAGTCTAAAGATTAAGCATTCGCGCAGGAGACCGAAGGTTCTATGTTCGACTACTGTATGCAGGATTGTAGATCAGGAATCTCATATTAGAACGAAATTGTCGTGTAGTGCTTTCAGGTTTTCCAAGATTGTCTAGGTTTAATCGCCTCATGAAGTCAACTAAAAAAAAAAGATGACTACAGTATCCACAAATCTCTATTCTGATAATACTTTCATTTCGTTGATAAAAAAATACTCATATTTGAATATGAGATAGTTTGTTTTACAAAATAATCATTTAAATAAATAGAAAGATAAAGAAACATTCAAGAGAAAAAAGAAAATATGAAGTCATCCATCTATCCCTCGATAGTTAGTTCGTTCATATAATTTGTGATGAATCAAATACTCCTTATGAATGGCTTAGTTACTTTCTACATTAAGTGGTTTATTGAATTATTAATTGATAAGTGAAGAATATGATTTTCACAATTGAATTGACGAGTTAATCTAAGCTAGACCTTCATTGAAAACTTGGAAGCATTAGATGGCCGTTTGGTCTTAGTATGAAACTTTTCAGTTAGTCTAGCTTAGATCGAATCGTGATTCGAACAGTAAAAATAGTACAATCTTCACAAATCCCCATACTGATAACAAATATAATCAATATTAATAGAATTACAATTTATCCAAGTGATAAACATCATTTTATTTTAATAGTTGTGATCATGAGCCAATCGAAGTTAGAACACCATGGAAAACCTGGAATCACTGGACGGCGGTTTCGTCCTATTGTGAGACTCCACAGCAGTGTGAATACACAATTCCACCTCGTGAGATCCAAACTCAGGATCTATCAGTAACGCACGCGAGCGCTTAACCACTACAACACTGATCCGGCCGGCATCCAACGGTGTTACTGTCTAACTTCAGCTGATTCACGAAATCGAGCGACACATCCATCATTGTCTTCGATGAGTTATTATCTCACAACAGACATGGATGAACTCCACTGTTCACTGCTTCTTACCTTTTGAAGCCAGTCACTAGTGAGCATATGTTGATTCATATCAGAGGGGTTTTGTGGATATTATATTAATTTCAATAGTTGAGATCATGAGTCAATTGAAGCTAAACCACTAGGGAAAACTGACAGACTGATAGGTCCTGGGTTCGAATGTCGCTAAGCGAGGTCGTGGATGCGCATTAAGTCACGAAACATCGTCAGAAATACAATTTTTCTACTCATTGGGATATAACAAAAAATATATTTATTATTAACTCAATTTGTTTTGCAACTATCAAGTCCAACTTTGGTAATAGGATACCTATAAATTAGACATGATTTGAAATTTAGATATCAAATAATACTTTAAACAATAATGACTATTTATAATCATGAATTAAGACTAGTACAAATAATCATTGCTTTATTTTTATTTCGTAATTCTGTATATAAAGTAAGTAGCAAGATAGTAACTCACTGAAGACAGTGGTGGACGGTGGCTCAATTTCGTGGATTAGTTGAAATTAAACATCAACACCGTTAGATACCGGCCGTCTCAGTGGTCTAGAGATTAAGCGTTCACATGCGATATCGATATGTCCTGAGTTGGAATCTTGCGAGGTAGGCTCGTGGATGCGTACTTCTGAGGAGTCTCACAATAAGTCAAAACGGCCATCCAGTACTTCCAGGTTTTCTATGGTGATCTAACCTCAATTGACTCATGATCTAAACCATCGAAACTACTCTAATATCCATAAAACCCCTCTGATATGACTTCATTATTAGTTAAATTAACGATCCTATTTCTTTTTATAATTTATTTCAGCATTACATAATGATGGATTACTTTTGAAAGATTTAAAGTTTACAAGACCATGCCCGGAAAAAAATTATCAATTTCATAATGGTAAATAAATTGATTTTAATTTCTTTGTGGTATATATGTAACCGTTTTGTGTTAAAAGAGTGAAGGGGGGGGGCGTATATATTTAACATATTGGATGTTACATTTTAATTACCTCTTTTTGACTATCAACATAATGTCCCATTAATATTAGTTGGAATCTTATACAATGATGATATTATGAATGAAAATAATTAAACTATAGCCTATATGTGATTCAATATATATATTATCTAAGTTTAGAAATGATTCATTTCAACATAGTTACCATGTCTATACATATATATATGTAGGTTTTTTTAAGCTTGACAATTGTAATATCATCATTATGGATTTTATAACTATAGACTTTCAAAGATAATGCATAATGTTTGTACTTTGATCAAACATTTACTGTTGCCAGTTGTGGTAGGTGTTAAATGTTCAAAAAAGACACCTTCTTTATGTTATGGTAATATTATCATTATTAACACTAATACTACTATTATTATCAGTAGTAGTAGTATTAGCAGTAGTGTTAATAGTAATAGTAGTATTAGTATTAGTAGTAGTAGTAGTAGTCGTTGGTGTTGTAGAAGTCGTAGTAGTAGTAGTAGTAGTAGTAGTAGTAGTAATAGTAGTATTAGTATTAGTAGTATTAGTAGTAGTAGTGTGGTGCGTGCTAGTTTTATTGATATAAGTAGTGTATTATGCGAGTCAGGAATGTAATGTCTGGCAGCAGAAGATGAAGGAAGATCAAGAAAGCGAAAGCGGGAATAGAATGCAATTTGTATGAAAATGTAAGAACAATGAAGTGTGAGGCGTTTTGAGACAATTGGTGGACATTTTGCAAATTAACGATTTAATATAAAGTTCTCAGATTTTATTGAGATGCCCTGTAATTTTGTGTCAAACACATTCGGTTGCCCTTACCGGTATTCTTGTTCACTACATTTGGTGTCGCTGCAGTAGTAGTAGTAGTAGTAGTAGTAGTAGTGATGTAGTTATCATTCTCATTCAGTATTACCATTACTAATAAAATCTTATATATATAGAATCGAGGTTTATTTACGTAAGTATTCCTTTAAATTACGTGACTACAAATTGAAATCATATCAATAATGGAATTCTATTATTATGTAATTATCTATGAATATCTTGTTTACATTTATGCCGATTAACATCTGTTTATTTGATCATTATTATGATACAAACAACAATTTGTAGGCGGGACTATAATAGCCCATCATTGTAACAGATGAGTGGAATGAATAAATGAATGAGGAAAACAAACAAACAAATAGAAAATACATGTACAGTAACGAATTCCTTTTATTTTGTGTATGTGTATTTGTGTATGTGTGAGTGCGTGTGTGTGTATGTGTTTGTTTGTGTGTGTGTGTGTGTGTGTGGTGTTCTTTTACAATATATCCGATTAACCTTTTTCATTAGTACAATAATGACAAAAATAACAATAATAATGTTGACAATGAAATCACTAATCTATATTACTATTTATTTAATATCCGGTGTAATTATCATTGGATACAGATCAATTTTGAATACTTTGTACAAGGATACATGATTATAGATTTAGTTGTTATAATGACAATATTGTAGTCAATAATGAATACACTATTTAATAATATAAAAATAGTAACACCATGTATGCGGTACAATAATCATCATAAATTATATAAAGTACAAATTATATTTAGAATGAGTTTTATGAATATGATAGTAATTTTAATGGTTGAAATCATGAGTTCATTGAAACTCAGTGGTGTAGAGGTTAAGCACTCATGTGCGAGATTGATAAGATCAAGATTCGAATTTCATGAGGTTGGATCGTGAATGCATATTGGTGAGTAGTCTTATACTGGGACGAAACGGATAATTAGTATTTCTAGGTTTTTCATGTTGATCTAGCTTCCATTGTCTTATGATATTAACTATTAAAATTACAAATTGTAGGGTTGTGGGGATTATTAAGTTTTTGATTGAGATCATGAACCAATTGGTGTTAGACCATCATTAAAAACTTGAAAGTACTGTACGGCCGTTTCGTCCTATTGTGCGACTTCTACTTGACAGTGCACATCCACGATCCCGCTTTAATTGACTCATGATCTCTACTATTAAAATTACTATAATATCCACAAAACCCCTTCTGATACTAATATACTTCTTTCATGATAAATCCGAATTGAATATATGAATCAAAATCCTTCAGTTTATAAGGTGATAACTAATAATGTAGATTACAACTTTGATGAAAATATTTAAAGTTTCATACATTACATACAGGAATGATCTTGGCTGGATAACTATCAGACGACAGGAAGCATCAAACACCTCATTCGTCACAGTATCACACTCATCAACAGTCGCTATCTAACCGAATTCCACCAGTCATTTAAAATTTATTCAAAATTGACAATTCTCAACAAACCAATACACTAATGCTAATAATAGTAATATTATTGCACTCACTTGTGATTGAGTTGTAGATGTGATTGGAGGTGTTCTGTGTAGATGTTGAGAATAGGGTTAATTCAACCATGTTACATGTGAGATGGATAGTTATCGACCACATGTGATGGAAGATAGTCTCACATTGTCACATCTCGATGAAATTCGACATGTAGACGATTGTATATGAAGTGTGTAGTGTGAAGTTGAAATGGTGGATTGTGAGTGGCTGGATGGTATTATGAGTGGGAACTGGTGAATAAACTTGCGATATGATGAAATAGTTATTTTGTGGTTTTTGGTTTCCAACGATTGTCTAATTAAGATCGATCGGTGGTGTGAAATGTGAGAACTGAACAATCCTGACATTAATCTTCGTATGTTGATATTGGTATGATATATCATATATTCATACTTCCACTATACTCCCTATTTAAATCTTTTTGGATCAGTATGTTTATGAGTAGGAAGCAACGGATCTTCGTTATTCATTATATTATTACAATAACTATACTTATCTATTTTTTACTGTATCAATGAATGTCTTCATGGTGTTGTTTAGATTCTTTAAATGTGTGGATTATCTTATGTCTCTTAATATATATACATCAGAAGAATTCGTTGTTGAAATCGTTGATATGGAACGATTTGTTGGTCGGCCAAATGACATTTGTGATTTTAATCAATGTATACTAAATAAATCGTTTATTTCAGTTGTTTAAGAAATATCACCTCCACTCTTAGATGTGTAGGAACCTGTCAATATAAAACTTGAATAAGTTTCATATTTCACATGGTGAATAACTTTTGTTTAAGTAATGAACATATACAGATATTTTTAAGCAAAGATGGATAGCTCCTAGCAGTGGAATCCACGACGCGCGTTTCGTCATTTATCGGACTTGTCAACTGGATGTTCCTGTATCCCAGTACCGTTTGCTTCAAACGCCATCACGTTATCCACTTAGCCACTGAGTCCTGATAGCCACCTGCTTGTGCAATGAGGTGAAGCTTAAATTCACTTGATGTTGTTTTGCTTGTATCTTTCGACTTTTATTTAGGACTACAATTGATCCGTGACATGTTAGCATATGTGCATCCTATGCGGATTGCCTGTATATAGCCTTAAGTCATAAGCTTTTTAAGAAAAGACGACGAATCATAAATAGGAATCCGGTTTGACGCGCGTTTCGTCCTATTTGAGACTCGTCATCTGGATGTACGTGCAATGGGAAGATACGAGTAAAACAACATCAAGTGAACTTAAAGATATTCTGTGATATTCAGCTTTATCCATATAAATAATGATAACTTCGCTTGATAATTTTCTATTATATAATCTACATTAAAACTATTTTATAAAAAGGAGAGAGAAGGTAACCATGGCAACAATTTTACATTACGTAATACTTCTTATCTAGTTGATTGATGATAATTAGCTTTCTCTTATGTAAACAATTTGTTATAATGTACTATTTTATATCAATAAAAATAGAAATATTCACATTAAACTATACATTCTGATAGTTCAATAGTTTATGTACAGTTTCTTTATGGATATAGTCAAGTTTACATTTGAAATATAAACTACTATTGCCAATAAAAGACTAATCAATTGAAGTCCTTATTATCCATGGTAAGATTTATGTGATACAATTACTAAGTGAATTTCTAATTACAACTATTTTGATAAAGCTGAAAAAGTAAAACAAATTTGTTATCTTTGAATTGATGAATAAAAACTAAATAGTCCAAGACAAAGTTCAAAATAGTAACTAAGTTGAAAAGCAAATAACCCGTTTTCTAAGTAACCACTTCTCAATTGTTTAACATACGGTATATATATTAATATAGTGGTTAGTGATAAAATCTAGGACGCACAGTTCGCCCTAATTAGGACTCGTCAGATGAATTTACTTGCATCTCAGAGTTGATGTTCACTTTAGGAATTGAACTCAGAAGATCTAAGAAAACAGTAACAAGTGAATTTAAACTTCACTCTATTACACAATCAAGTTGCCATCAGGACTCAATAGTTAAGTGGATAACACGACGGCGTTTGAAGCGAACGATAATGTGTTCAAGTCCCAGAATGAACACCAACTCTGAGTTATAGTTCCATCCAACCGACGAATCCCACATAGGACGAAACGAGGCTCTTGGATTCTACATTCATCCATCATCCATCTTTACGTTATTTTAGTATTATTATTGTGATTGTGATTAAATTGTTTGCACTAATGAGATCGTTTCTTTTTTCCTTCTCACTTTTTCTTCTCATTCCTTATTATTTGTATTCACAAATATAATCAGTGTTATTCATTTGTCTCTAATAAATTGTTTCGTCCTATTCGGGACTCGTCTGCTGGATCTACTTTCATCTCAGAGTTGATATGTTACTCTGTGACTTGAATTCATTATTGAAATGATAATTACATGATGTTGTTATTAGTGACTTATGTTTGGGAGGTTGTCTCAAATCATAATCAACCAGTTTACACATTAATGATCTTGAAAGATAATTACTTAATATTGTGAAATGAATAAAGTCTGAATAAAGACTTTCATTATCAAATCTGATCTATCATTCAACTGTCGTGAGAGAAAAAAAAGAGGGAAACTCCATCCTTATATTAGATTGTCATTATTAGTTAGTTACTATATCTTTCAATTCAACAATTTAATAACGTTCAGTATTAATATTAATTCGTAAATACTTTCACAGTTTTTAAGATTACATCATTAGAACAAACCTTATTTATAAACGAAATATTTGAAGAGTTCAGTACTAGGACGAAACAACTATCTATTGTTTCTAGGTTTTTCATGATGGTCTAGATTTAATCGATTGATTGTATCTAAGTACTTAGATTGAATTTATTCTTAAAAAGTTCATCTATGAACTTATAATGATAACAATAATAATAATAATCATAATAGTAACCTCTTCCTTCTTTTATTTGTTTTTTGGTTTTTTTTTCTATCTTAGCTACTGGAAATTTTATGTGCGTTGTACCAACAGCTAAAAAATGTTTTGAATTATGTCAAGAATTAGGTTGTAATGAATGGTATTTCATGAGTTTTGTACCATCTGGTAGTGAAGAAATTAAAAAATATCATCGTTGTCGATGTTTCCCGGAATATCATATGTGTTTTTATAATTCAGTACCAAGAAGATATCGTGATTTTGAATAATTCTCATTTCTTTTATTATATAATCATTTTGTTTCTGTGTGTGTGTGTGTGTGTGTGTGTGTGTGTGTGTGTGTGTCTGTGTGTGTGTGTGTGTGTGTGTGTGTGTGTGTGTACTTGTATCTGTGTTAATTGGAAAAAAAAAGAACTTGAAAGCATTTATTAGTTAAACTAATTAATGAATAAATAAATAATGATACTACTAATAATGAAATCTTTAATCCCTTTCATTTTAACTGTGATGTAACTGATATAAAAACTTTCATGTATGTTACAATCAATTCATTATTTCATTCCAATGAACCATTATTGTCAGATATCAGTTTAACTGAACTCACTTCTATATATAAATATATGAAGATCAAAATATACTATTCAAGTTATAAACTCTTTTTCTATTTCATTATCTATTCTTGTTGTTTATTGTGTTGTGTATTGTTTTCTTTTATGTTTTATGTGTTTTCTATTAACATGATCCTAAATAAATAAATAGAAATATATATATATATACATGTATGTATAATATACTTTTGTTGCCTTTCATTTTTCTTCCTATTGTTTTTGTTTTAGTTATTATTCTATCTGTTATATTAGTTTATGGGTTGTGGAGATTATTAGGTTTTTGATTAAGATCATGAACCAATTGATGTTAGACCACCGTTGGAAACCTGGAAGCATTGGACGGCTGTTTTGTCCTATTGTGGAACTCCTCCTTGACAGTGCGCTTCCACAATCCTGCTCGCGAGATTTGAACCCAGTACCTTTAGTCTCGCGCGCGAACGCTTAACCTACTGAACCTACAGGATCTATTATATGAAGTGTTTATATTTAGATTGTTTATGTTATCATATAAGACATACATGATACATACGTGATACAAATTGTTGATTAAGATTATTTATTTATTTGAACACACAAATGCCCTGGTACGGCCGAGAGTGGGGAGAGTCCACTCTCCCTCTCGAAATGTTCTCACATGGCCACGCATACATAGCCTCTGCCAGGGAAGTCCTAATCACTGCCTTCTCGTGACGGGGGTGTTGTTTACGAAAATGAGAGGACGGAAAGCGAATGTCCGGTGCTTTAACTGGATTCCAAACCAATGGTGCACATGGGCTCCAGTATCCTGAGGGAACAAATGGCGTATGAACCAATTGTTGGTCACCGGCCTCCACTGGACTGCATCTCCTTACGATGCTCCAGTGCCTTGTGGATCAGACCCTCAGGTCGAAGGCTCGGGATGTGGCCTCCTAAGAAAACCACCTGTTTCGGTTTGGGCACCCGGGCAGTATCACAGCCCTCACACATCGAATGAGATTTGTGTGGCGCATATATATTTGGTACCTTCTTGTACCAATATCTATGTGTTAAAATAAATAAATAAACAAGGGAGCACCGGATATAAATGCACCACACAAATCAAATGAGATTGGTGTGGTTTATTGTTAAGATGATAAAATCTTAAGATGGTAATAAAAATGTATGAATCAATTATTCAAATGGATCGCATAAGTTCGAGATCAAGTATCTGATTGATTATGTTTTGATGAAGAAATTATTGAAACATCAGATTTTAATTTACAATCGCATTTGAATCTAGATTAACTGGAAGATGAATGTCTGATTAAGTTGTAAATAGTAAACTATTCTGTGTAATCTATCACCATTGTATCATTTAATATCTCGTAACATGAATTCCATGCCAGATTATAGTATTATAGTATTTTCAAAGTCGAATTCACGGGTGAAGCACATGTGCTCACTACTGATTAGCTTCAAGGTGAGTTTCCTGAAGTTATAGTGAGAAGCCGTGACTTGTAGAATCAAATCCATGTTGGGCAAAGATAGTTATCCACTTCAGACAACGAATGAAGGGTTACGCAAAACCATGGATTGATTTAGGTTAAACATTAATACCGTTGGACGCTGAATCAATGATCTAGAGGTCAAGAGCTCGTGCGCGAGGCCGAAGGTTCTGAGTTCGAGTCCCTTCAGCGCGGGACCATGGATGCGCGCTACTGAAGAGTCGTAAACTATGACTTCGAGGTTTTCAGTGGCCGTTTAGCCACGACCGATTCGTGAATTTAACTTTGAAAAAAGAATCAATTTCACCTGAAAATGATACTGCCTTCAACATATTCTTATAATTTACTAAAAAACGACAACATAATAGCAATTTCTTTAACACGTTTCTTCAACCGTCAAAATCTGAACCCAACCAGAGAGATCAACTGATTACGAATCAAGATTCAGATTTATGTTAAACAAAGATTAAGATAAGATGATAAACCATTACGACAATATGATGTACAAACCTATCTCATTTAATAAAGAAGAATTCATTTTCATTTTTGATTGGAACTAGAACAGGAAATCATTTCTATAAACATTGAAAATAATAGAGTTAAGTGTAAAATGAAATTACTGTTTAGAAACCCAATACAGAAAGGCAATCATGAAACTCTGAAGTAACATCCAGGATATGGGATACTATTATCCATTGATGAATTGCCATTCGACTAAACGTCGAGAAGAAGTGGTGAACTGAAATTTCGTGTTGATTACTTCTGTAAACTCAATGCTTCAATAGTAAACGTTTTCCGTAAGCTATTTACTGATATAATCTTCAAGATTACAGAAAAATATTACCAAAGAGTATTATTCATCAGGAGCGGAACATAAGATACAAGGAATTAATATCAAAGTGAATATAGGTGCTTTTCTTTTGTATAACTCTAGGACAACTATTTGATCACTAATTTCACAAATAATCAGTTAATTTTGATGTATAAGAGATCTAAACAACAAAATACTGGTTGCTGTCAGGTGATTGGTTATCAATAGACCATCGATTATCACACTTAAATAAATAGCTTCGTGAGAGGATTCTCGAAGTTCTAGTGAGAAGCCGTAGACAGTGGAGCTAATCCGTGTCGGATAGAAACAGGTGTCTACGTCAGTACAATGGAAGATGGTCGCTCAATTTCGTGGATTGATTGGTGTTGGACACTAACACCATTTGATGCCGGCTCAGTGGTCCAGTAGGTTAAGCGTTCGCGCACGAGACCGAAGGCCTTGGGTTGGAATCGCGTGAGTGTGATCGTGGATTCGCACTGCTGAGGAGTCCCAAAACAGGACGAAACGGCTGTCCAATGCTTCCAGGTTTTCAATGGTGGTCTAACATCAATCGGTTCATGATCTTAATCAAAACTTAATGATAAAGTAATCTTCACAGATTGAAATCATGAGTCAGTTGAAGCTAGACCACCATTGAAAACCTGGAGGCACCGGACGGCCGTTTCGTCCTGGTACGGGACTCCCCAGCAGTGCGCACCCACGAACCCGCACCACCCGGGGCTCGAACCCAGGACCTACTGGCTTCGCGCGCGAGCACTTAACCATTAAACCACTGAGCCGGCATCCAACGGTGTTAATGTCTAACTTCAACCAATCCACGAAGTTGCGCTACCGTACACCATTGTCTTCAGTGAGTTCCTATCTCACAAAAGACCTGGTTGAACTCCACTGGTAACGACTTCTCACTAGAACTCCAGAAGTGTCTCCTGAAGTCAGTCACTAGTGAGCAGGTGATTATTATTATCAGAATGTGTTTTGTGGAGATTTTTAGAAATTTTTCACAGATTGAAATCATGAGTCAGTTGAAGCTAAATCTCCACAAAACACATTCTGATGATAAAGTAATCATCATGTTAATAGATTGAAGATATGATATAGTTTAAGCTTATTTGTTTAAGCATATGTGCATACTGTGCGGACTGCCTCGATATTACCTTACTTCATAGGCATTATAAGCAAAGATGGATAGTGGCTGGCAGTGGAATCCAGTTTGACACGCGGTTCGTCTTATTTGAGAATCGTATGATGGATATACCCGCATCTCAGAGTTGATGTTCACATTGGGAATTGAACTCTGAAGATTCAAGAAAACAGTAACAAGTGAATTTAAACTTCACCCCATTGACCAAGCAAGTTACCATCAGGACCCAATAGTTCAGTGAATAACGCGAGTGCGTTTGAAGTGAACGATAACGGGTTCGAGTTCCAGGGTGAACACCAACTCTAAGATGCAAGTGCATCCAGCTGACGAGTCTCAAGTAGGACGAAACGTGCGTTTTAAATTTCACTGCTATTCATCTTTACATTATCCTGGTATTATTATTGTTATTGTGAATAAATTGTTTGCATTAGTGAGATCGTTTCTTCTTTCTTTCTCACTTTTTCTTCTCATTCCTTACTATTTGTATTCACAAATATAATCAGTGTTATTTATTTGTCTCTAATAAATTTATTTGACATTTCATGTAAAATTTAACATTCTTATTACTATGATCTTTATTACACCTTCATTCATCAAACCAGAAAAAAATGAGAGAAAAAAAAGAAAAAGAAAAACGTTTCATATTTCTGTTTGGGTAAATTTCTATTAAAAATTTTGTTCATTATTTATTTTTCAAATAATTTTTTCTGTTTTTGTTGTTGCTGGGTGGAAACTATTTCATTCTATAATCAACTTTTATATATTCGCCTATCACAGTTTATGTTGGTTGGCAAGAGTGATGCATTCCATTTGAATCTTTAATAAAGTACATATAGATATATTAAGGAGTTTATTATTTGCAGTCAAGATGAAGACTATTAAAATTTAAGAAACTAAGTATTAATATTTACTTTTACTTACTTTACTTACGCCTGTTACTCCTAATGGAGCATAGGCCGCCGACCACCATTCTCCAACCCACTATGTCCTCGGCCTTCTTTTCTAATTCCATCTTATTCTTGTTCATTTTTCTCATGTCTATCTCCATTTCCCAGCGTAATGTGTTCTTTGTTCTCCCTGTTTTTCCCTTGACCTTGAGGATTCCATGTGAGGGCTTGTCTTGTAACGCAGTTGGGTGCTTTTCTCAATGTGTGTCTTATCCACTTCCAGCGTTTCTTCCTGATTTCTTCCTCCGTTGGGATCTGGTTTGTTCTTTCCCACAGTTGGTTGTTGCTAATAGTGTCCGGCCAACGGATCTGAAGTATTTTGCATAGACAACTGTTAATAAATACCTATATCTTCAGGATGATGGCTTTCGTAGTTTTTCGAGTTTCCGCCCCATACAGTATAACTGTCTTGACATTTGTATTGAAAATCCTGACCTTGGTGTTGGTTGACAGTTGCTTTGAGTTCCAAGTATTAACGTTTAGTGGCCCTATATCTGATTGTATGATTGATTGCAACTGAGATATACATATGTCGCCTATCCTTGTATGCAATTTGTCAACTTTGATCGCGTTAGTGAATAAAGGAATTAAATAAGTTATATAAGAGAATAAATATTTGAATACATATAGTTTGTACACTCACTGATCTGGATAGATAATCAGAAAGACGAATCGAAGTAAGGGAAGAAGAGAGAGTG